AGTGGGGGTTAGAGGGAATACACACACACCACTTTCAATCGAAAACACTTAATTTTTTTCAAAAATAGTTGCGAACGAACCAACATCATTAACTGAAATTAAAATTATCACTCGTGATGCTACAGATTTCTGCTCCGGGAGAAAAAATCAAACAACGCAGATGAAACAAAGCAGAAATTCATATGAGAATAAACTGCCAGTTCTACTGTGATTTGTCAAAATGCCACTATTATAAAATGATTAGGATGAGTGTCCTTATGTAAGTTTTTATCCTGTAGACATACCTTTCAGTTTTGGAATATTAGTTGGCATATGCACGCACAACCAGCTGAAAAAGGTTTCTGATTAGTTCATATTTACGCAGAAACCATCCTTCTAGGACACTCCGTTCAAAAGATAGAATCGAGCGCCACCCTACTTACCATACCAGTCAGGCTAAGGCCTAGGCATCCTCTGCTTTTTTTCTGTGTACGCGGAAGCAAAGAAAAGGTCAATTGCAAAGTTTATTATCTTTGCCTTAGAGCAACCGTATCAATGAGTAAATAAGGCACATTTACCAACCTCTACCATAACGTTACTTGCGTACCGGGGGTTGCTATTCAGGTGGGGGAAATAGCAATCCGCACCTTGGGAAGGAGTGAGTTCATAAATTTAGCAACCCGGTAGCAACGCATCAGACGGTTGCTATTTTGAATAAACGTCAAAAGTTTGTTTTGCCGGTGTGGAAAACGGTAACTTAAATTATGACTCTGATAGCAACGACCGGTGTGGAGAGGAGTGATTAAGCCAAAATGGAAACGCTGTGTGTAAGTAAAATAGTGCCGCAAATGGCAACGACTGGTACGGTTGCTCTTACTGCAGCACGCTCTCGCCTACACCACAAGATCAACATAACGGCTGCAGGCTGAATAATAAAAAAGAAAACACAACATAGGAAAATCATATGATTCTACAATGTCTAGTTCTAGAACGAAGGACAAGTTATCATTAGAAGTATTTTTATCTATATCTTTCTCGCTAGACTTATGATGGGACAAAAATCAAAAACAGCCCTCCCCAACGCACCACTTCAGACCACAAAAAGCTCGCATCATTCTTTTCCTTTTGCTATTTCACATAAAATAACGCGAGACCCGTAATCCAAAGCGATGCGCCAAAAAAACCACCCCCGAACTCCCCGAAAACACGCCAAAGTAAATAAAACCTTAAGTGTGGCCTTTTCGCGATTGACTCTCACCATAATATCTCGCGAAACTTTAAGGTTATGTATGTATGTATGTATGTATGTACAATCCAACTCCCACTGTCCGGCAGTGTTTTTATGGAAGAAAAATGTCTGCAATATAATAGATTACTATCTTATACTGATCCAATCGCAAATATTTTTAGCCCGGAAGTTGAAAGATGATAGCTGTTGACGAAGTAATTTTCGGAGATTCTGTGCAGCAAAACTCGTTATTTTCATGTGAGTTAGCTCGAAGCTGTATATGTGGAATTTATTAGATTTTTCCTTTGTTTGCAATTTACCTTCATACAGTTTGTCTCCAATTAGTGTTTGTATCGGCAACAGAATACATTAGATTTCATATTGTGTAGCAAGTTAATCTATAAGTGCAATACAACTAATTATTTCATAAGTTTAAATTAGGATAATAAATTCACCAAAAAAACGTTGTGTAATTCACTACTGCGTATAATGACAACAATTCAACTCGCTTATCTGATTAGTAATTCAACGTTAACAAACCTGACAATAGAACCTACTTTGACGTAAGGGCAGTTGGCTCATTTGGATGCACCGAGGCGTATAGACGAGTGCACGGCTGGATTTGAGTTCACTCACTCGACAAAAAGTGACACACTCTTTTTACTAAAAATGAACACATGAATAATATTCGCGTAACATTTGCAACGGGCCTATCAACATTTGTACAGAAAACTTGTTAAGCCTTTTTCGCACGATCCGAATACGCTCACGCAAACTAACAACACCATCGGGTAGGGAAAATTCTCCCCTTCCCGATAGTGCTCTTGGTTTGCGTGGGCGTACTTCGGTTCTCGTGAAAAGGACCTAGCAAGTTGTTTACAAAAGTTGATAGACCCTTTTCAAATGTTACGCGAGCATTATTCATGTGTTCATTTTTAATAAACAGGGCCCCGCTGTTGTGTCATTTTTTTTTCTCAGTAGATGAACAAAAGTTCACCAGTGCACTCGTCTATAGTGGGCAATGTGTTGCCGGAACAATAGCTCTGTTGATTTTCAGAGACCCATTTCAGAATATTTGGTCACTAACGTCCATTCCGAGGTCACTATCACTTACAACAAGCCCAGCATTCACATAGGAGCAGCACCAAGTGGATATTGGCATTATGTGTGCACTTCCACCAAATATTATAAATTCACAATACGGTTCTCTCTTCTATTATCCCCTCTAGCTCTAGTGAGTGACGCTAAAGGCTAAAGGATACTAGTACACTGTAAATTGAGCGTAACAAGGCTATCAAAAACAACTCACAGTTGAATAAAATGTTACTCACACGGTAAGAAAAAAATACCCAAAATTAAGTTTGTATCGCAAGCGCCACTGGGATTTTCTGAGGTATAAAATCTCTGATCACGAAGGGTTGGTGTGGAAGCTGCTTCCCTGTTGTCGGTAGCATTCAACATTGAGTTTATAAAATCTCAAATACTTAAAAAAAAATAAAAACATAATTCGATTTTCAGCTAAAAGTACTCAACCGTCATGTTTTCACCGTTGGGAACTTTTAACTTATTTTTGGATGAAAATCATAGCAACCTGCGCTACCTTTGATGATGTTATTTGTGTGTGCTCCATCGCCTTCGTTCGAGCTCCATTATTGCATTCGATTGATCATTAGGTAGTTTTCACTCAATGGATTATTGATCAGAATTACTCAAAATTTAGTTTTCATCATTAATTTAATTTTACCTAGCACCATCGAAGCTACATGATAAGTGAAAGTGAAATAAATTATTATACTAACTTTAAAGTACCCATTATTGAGTAATAAATACCGATTTTAAATAAAAGTGGCTTAACTCATTAAATAAGCATTTGTTTTACCCATTAATGAGTATCTGTTATAGCAATGGGTGATCTTGGAAAGAAACACAAAAGATCGATTCTTTTGGTTCGATTAATCAATTTTTGGAATCGATCCCAAACACGACAAAAATCGACTGGATCGATCCTTTACATTCGAGTTTTGTTTCGATCCAAAAAGAAATTTCAGTGCATTTGCATTAGCAATTTAATATTGATTTTTTTAAAACCTTCACCTTTGCACATCACTTGCCTTGAACATGGATTCAGCCAAACAACTAGAGTGACAGTTCAGTAAGGCTTGTACTCGAAAAAAAATGCACAATTTTTATTCGTGGGTAAAAAATGATGAAAATCTGGGTATAACTAGTTTGGAGTAAATTGTTTACATGTGCAAAATTTCATAACAATCGGTTCTGTGATTATTGAGATGTCATCGAAACAAGAAGAAAATCGCCGGAGAATTTTGCGCGCCGTCATGGAAAATCCTACTGCGACCATGAGATGGATCGGAAAACCACTGGGAATCACCCATACAACTGTGTCTCGGGTGGTAAAATCGTTTAAGGAGTCCCAGACGACCGACTGGCGGGCTGGATGTGGAAGAAAATCGAAGGCAGCTGACCCTGTGAAGGCCCGGAAGGTGTTGGATTATTTCAAGCGTAGTCCGAACCTTTCGATTCGCGACGCGGCTCTGAAGGCAAAGTGTTCCGTCTGGTTCGTTCAGCAAACCATGAAACGAGCTGGACTTAGTGTATTCAAGGTCCGGAAGGCACCGAACCGGCGTGATCAACAAAACACGGCGGCCAAATCCCGCGCAAGGAAGCTGTATCGAGAGTGGTTAACGAAACCGATGTGTGTGGTTATGCATGACGAAACCTACATCAAGGCGGACGCAAAGCAGATACCGGGGCTGGAGTTCTACGTTGCCAAATCACGGATTGATGACCCGGAAGACATAAGAAAGAAGAAAGTGGACAAATTCGCCAAAAAATACTAGCTCTGGCAGGCCATATGCCAATGCGGTAAACTGAGTAAACCGTACATCACAATGGGTACCATCAACAGTGAAATTTACCGCACCGAGTGCCTCCAGAAGCGTCTGTTGCCCTTCCTGCGGTCCCACGGAGGCGAGACATTATTTTGGCCGGACCTGGCATCATGCCATTACGCGCGATCGACGTTGGATTTGTACAGAGACAATAACGTTGTTTTTGTACCAAAAACCGCCAACCCCCCAAATTCACCAGAGATTCGTCCGGTGGAAAGATTTTGGGCCATAATGAAGGCCAAAGTTCGAAAATCGTCCAAAGTGTTTAAGAACAAGCTGGAGTTGAAGAAATAATGGATGAAAGTGACCAAAAAGGTCGGCTCCACCATTGCACACAATGTAATGAGGGGTCTTAAGGGAAAGGTGCGGGCTTTCAGCGATGGAAAGGAAATTGAATAAAGTACAACGAAACTATAGGATAGGACTATAGGATGTTACTGTGCAATGTGAGTATTTGCGAAACAGGGATGACGTGTAGAGGTCAAACATTGAAATTGGACGCCATTTTGGAATCCCAGATTAGAAATACTGTCAAATACCCAACAATGTGGGTACTTTCGTAACTGGGTAAGCCATGGTTTATGGACGGGCGATCGACATCAGACCAAATCTCTACGTTACGGCACCACTTATTTATCCATTTCAAGGCCGTTGACGAGACATGGACATGCACAGGTCAATTTGAATATTGACATTTTATATCTTATTGCACCACTCTGCGTCTAACAAAATCGATAGTATGTAAGTAGTTAAATTCCTAGAGTTTTTTTTTATTCCCACGATACTACAAAGTATCGTAGCGTTAGTCGGACTATTGGATCGAAATGATTTAGTTAGCATATATTTTTCATCAAAAGCATTTTTTATTAATTTTCTTGAAGCACCTCCGCGCACCTTGCATCACCTGTTCACCGATGAAGTCAATATAGTCATTCTTACCGGTGAGCAAATTTGCCGCCGGTTGCTCCACGAACAGAAAGACCACCAGTCCGAATCCATATGATAATATCAGAGCAAGCCCCGTGAATACAATCTACAATGGAAATAAAGTTATTATTTGCTGTCAAATAGGATAAAATATAAGGCAGGAATTATTATATAATTTATGAATTAAGAACTCGTTCGTCAGCTCGTTTGCCAAGCGCAGTGGGATGGGAAATTTTTAATTTATTCTCGTTGAGCCTTACCGGTGTAAACACGTCATTAGCTAGCGGTGCACGTATCGAGCTCGAAATTGCCATCAGTATCAGATAGTGACTGTGATAAACGCTGTACGTCAGCTTGCCCAAGGGCAGTAGAGATCGGTGCTCCAGCAGGGATCTAAGGCGATCTGTGGACAGGCACGTGAGAATTGCGAAATGAAATCATCCGGAATGTTCGTGATTGATCTATACTTGCTTTGCTTGCTGAAGGCCAACTCAATGAAAGTCACAGCACACAGAAATCCCCAACAATTCTTGGCGATGGACCCATAGAATGGCATCCAGGAATACGATGCCCAATTGGTGTCGTAAATCAGGTATGCTGGAGCGTAGCAAATCACGACTACCATGAGTGATAGGATTTTGACAGCCTTGAAAACCTACAACGATATGAATAGTATATGAGCATGTTGGAACTGTGCTATGATTAGGCGCAAAACCTTCCAGTTGACGAACTCATCCCCAGCCGATTTCACCCGGTGATACATCATTCCAGCTAGCACCCCGTAGAAATACCCAGCACTGCTGGTGTGAAACGGCTTGTACAGTCGAGCAAACCATTCGTCATCGGTGAACAATAGTAGGACAGGCCTGGGAACAAAAACAAATCAGAGTCGATTGAAGAATCAAAATGACGATTGGCTCACAGATGGCGAGTGGGTGAAAATGGTAATGACGTTTTGATATCTGTCAAATTACATGACATTTTTTTTTCAGTACATCAACATTTCGGATTTGTTCGGATTTAATTGCGGATCTTAAAACTAAGTGCCGCATGATCAGTGTTAGCTTTGCTTTGATTCGCCAATTGGAAAAGCACAAATTCCAAAATCATTAATATGGCATGATTATGGGACGAACGTTATTGCAATGTGAACGCAATTAAAAAGTAGAAGGGTCTGTGCCTAGGGGCACGAACGGAAGCTTGACGTAGGACCGCTAGTGAACGGAATAAATGTGAAGAGCATTTAGTTCTTTTAATTGATCAATTATCTATAATCTCAACTTTTTCCGTTTTTGAATTGTAGGCGTACCAAATTTTTAGTAATTTTTTTCAAAGAGAAAGTTGATTAAGAGAATCAATCAAAATCACTTGCACCCCTGTTTCCAAGTTTGGTTGCAAGATTACAACTCTGGAGAGCATTTTGGGGGCTTGTGGTTCTGAATATGGACAAACAAGCACAGATAAATTCTATTCCAACTCTTTACTGATGTAAGCTTGATGGTCCTGAAAAGGGCCGTAGAACATCCATGGCCGCTTACGCTTGGCGTGTTTAGTGTAGGTGACAGCATCACGGTCCTCATTTTCCAGGAACACCTTCAGCACACCTCGTAGATCAGACCGAAAATACGTTTGACACCACCACGGCGAGCCAGACGACCGATGGCGGTTATCTCGAAGAACTTTGCGATGACGCTTGGTGCCTCCTTTGCCACGACCAGTCAATTGTTGCTTGTTAGGTGTAAAGGAGTGGACTAGCCACCACCTTCCTACTGCTGCTATTGCTGTTCACCACGCCGTCCGAAGCGAAAATGAGCTTAAGCCATACAGCAGCGCTCTTTTATATCTTTTCAGGTTGAAGCAGAATGATGTGCAACCAAGTGGTATAAAAGCTACAAAAACTCCTCCCATTATGAGTAGTTTGCTATCAAGTAGCGACACTGGCTCTTTTCCTTTTGCGTACACGGCGAATGAGAACGACCCAAATTTGAGTTTAGTTCACTCATAATCGCCAAAAGTGCAGGAACTCAGCGATGAGTAAATTTGTCTCATGGTTTCCTGTGGAAAACCTAAAAAATCTGCCAGAAAATAAGGAAATAGACGAAAATTTTATTCTATATCGGAGTAGTACCAATAAAAAGAATTTTCCCTGGAAAATCCTGGAAAAAACCTGGGAAAACATGAGGCAAATTTACTCATCGCTGAGTTCCTGCACTTTATTTTTTATTTCTGTGATAACTAAACTCAAATTCGGGTCGTTCTCATTCGCTGTGATATCACCTTGAAAGATATCGGCACCGGTGGTTAGCGTGATTACCTCTCACTCCAGCAGGCCTGGGTCTAATCTCAGTCGGCGCCACCGGCATGTTCTAAGGCATAACATCTCTGATCACGCCTTCCTTCGGGAAGTAAAGCCGTTGGTCCCCGGTTAAGTTGATGGGACGATATGTAGGGTCCAGGTGTGGGAGCTGCCTCTCTGGCGTCGGTAACATTGGAGCTCAGTACGGAAAAAAAAATCTCGGGTCACTTTTCAATAGGTCCTATCTACATTGATCGATTCTTTTCATCGACACTCCCCGGAAAAAAATAACCATACAATTGCCATAAAATAAAATACAGTTACAAGTAAATCTATTGCCAACAATCGATCTTATTGTGTGTATATAGTACACGAAGTTTTAACATATTGTTATTACAATAGATGTACAATACGTCCCATATAGTAAGAGTTTTCAACAATAGAACAACAATACAATTAATGGTAAATGGTTAATGTTTGTTCGGGAAAAAGTGATTTTTCGTATGGTTCAGATACATAACGACCCCCTTAATCTATTGTATATTCCCCCATTTACCATAGATTCTATTGTAGAAACAATACATTCTATTGTTATTTTATCGTTGTGGAGAATACGATTTATTGTAAATACCATAAACTCTATTGTATGGTTACAATACATTTCATTGTACCTCTACGGTTCTTTTTTTTACGGGTCTCTTTCGTAAATAACTCGGCCTCACAAATGTTTCCTGCCGTCTTCGTCGAATTAGATGCTAGATTGTTGCTTCTCCCATCGAAAATATCCGGCCGTGGCGATTCAAAGTTGATCAAGGTTGATCAAAATAATTTGTACCTCTGCTTCCAGTTTGATTACATGAGCAGTTTGTGTGGTCGTTGGTTCTGAATATGGACAAACAGGCAGATGAATTCTATTCCTTTCTCTTTACTATAATAAGCTTGGTGGCTCTGAAAAGAGCCGTTTGTTGCCAAAGTTGGTGATGATTTAACCTCCGAAACCAAACAGAGTGCGTCTCTGTCACTTCAAAACGTAGATGACATCCATGGCCGCTTACGCTTGGCATGTTTAGTGTAGGTGACAGCATCACGGATCTCATTTTTCAGGAACACCTTTAGCACACCTCGTAAATCAGACCGGAGATACGTCAGACACCGCCATGGCGAGCCAGACGACGGATGGTGGTTATCTCGAAGAATTTGCGTTTGGTTCTGAATATGGCGATGAGTGTGCAAAATATTTCGCAATTCCATCCTCCCTATTCGCACGCGCCCGAGGATCGGAGGCGAATGCCACTTCGACTTGTTTCGTCTACTTGCTACTCTCTGACGACTGTGCTGGGGAAGCAGCATATGCATGTAGGTAATTGGTGGATTTGTTAGTTAATTCGACGGTTTTAGACAATGCTGCACATTTACCAGTTTTTCAATAGTTTCTTGTTGAAAATCAACATTCGGAACATTGTTATCAATACGTAGCCATATTTCTGATCGATTGGTGATAAAATTAATGAAATTGGACCAGGGGCAGCTGAGTTATTAACGTTCAAAATCTTTCTTAATTTGTTACATGTTCCATTTTCGGTTTTCACAAAGTGTACCCCATATAGAAATCAAAGACGTAGTCCTACGTCAAAAGTGCGCATATCGTCTAAATGCAGCCGTAGTCTTCGCTCTGCCTTTGAAAGCGAAGAGCTAAACCAGTTTTATCGTATTCACGCACTCGTATGGAAGCCTACCCGACCCACGCGCTGCTGTGCACTGTATAAATTATTATTACACTGATGTGTTAACGTATAATTGCCGCCAAAGACCTTGACAGCTAAACGACTGACCACTAACGGGCTGTCGATCCATGGTACAATGTCATGATCACTTTCTTACGTGCGGGAACCGGTAGAATTTCATTCAGAATGGTAATCCCAGTGCTGTAGCTCGGAGAGGGCAACCTACGCCCCACATTGAATGGCACTTTTTCGGCTTTTTTTATTGCTTCTAAAAAATCAGTTAGGTATAGGATTGTTTTGTTTGAACTTTGTATCTTAAGGTGTTTCCTTGTAGAGTCATTTTTTCCATCACACCTCGCAATTTCAAGAGCACACAACTCAAGATCTACGTGGTTTATGCATCTGCAAATTTCAGACATTGCTTGCTTCACCGCAGCAAACAACAAGTCAAGAGCAAATTTTCATTACGTCGAATGTAACAAAGGTAAACAAAGTCGAGCTATCAGTGTCAATCGATTCTCCTGCTATTACACTATATGCTGTCCGAATATAGGATCAAATCCCATTTTTAAATTTATTTACCAGTCAAATTGCTTTTTGACGTAATCACCTTCCGATCAAAATAGTTTTCGATGTTACTTAAGTCACCCAATTTCTATGGAGATGCCGTTTGACTTAAGTAACAGCGCTGAGAAACCCGTGAAAAGTGTACGTTCGTCGTTTCGCTTTCTCATTATTAAAGTGAATAAATCGAACTGTTTGTTGCTAAGATGATTTCGGTGGTCCTAAAATGATGAATGGGCTGCACGTAAGGAGACGTAATTGATAATTCTCCCGAATATCCTGGTAAATACACTTTGACTTAAGTAACAATAGGGGCCACCAAACGACGTATAATAACTTTTGACTAAAAAACCAGTATTTTTTAGCATGAAAGCTTGCGATTTGCATTTGTATGATTAACACCCTGCTAAATATGTTAAACATTGCTATCACTATGAGATTATATGTGTTTACTTGGAAATAGGAATAACTTTTCGGTCATCAAAACAAAACTTTATTTTTCTCGGATTGGTGCGAATGTTACTTACGACATAATGAAAATTTGCTCTTGAAGTAGTAGTTTCAGCCCGAGGGGGGCGACTCTATCTGCGATGCAGGGTTTTGATTTGCTGTGGTTAGCTGCGCACACGCTGACTAGATAGAAAGAAGATTGATGACGATTCTGACGATTTCCTGCCAAAAGACTGTCTGTCTGTCTGTCTGTCTGTCTGTCTGTCTGTCTGTCTGTCTGTCTGTCTGTCTGTCTGTCTGTCTGTCTGTCTGTCTGTCTGTCTGTCTGTCTGTCTGTCTGTCTGTCTGTCTGTCTGTCTGTCTGTCTGTCTGTCTGTCTGTCTGTCTGTCTGTCTGTCTGTCTGTCTGTCTGTCTGTCTGTCTGTCTGTCTGTCTGTCTGTCTGTCTGTCTGTCTGTCTGTCTGTCTGTCTGTCTGTCTGTCTGTCTGTCTGTCTGTCTGTCTGTCTGTCTGTCTGTCTGTCTGTCTGTCTGTCTGTCTGTCTGTCTGTCTGTCTGTCTGTCTGTCTGTCTGTCTGTCTGTCTGTCTGTCTGTCTGTCTGTCTGTCTGTCTGTCTGTCTGTCTGTCTGTCTGTCTGTCTGTCTGTCTGTCTGTCTGTCTGTCTGTCTGTCTGTCTGTCTGTCTGTCTGTCTGTCTGTCTGTCTGTCTGTCTGTCTGTCTGTCTGTCTGTCTGTCTGTCTGTCTGTCTGTCTGTCTGTCTGTCTGTCTGTCTGTCTGTCTGTCTGTCTGTCTGTCTGTCTGTCTGTCTGTCTGTCTGTCTGTCTGTCTGTCTG